ATATATCATGTCAAGTTTGCATTCAGAGCTATAATCTTTGAATCGTTCATGAATCTGTACGGCTTGAAACATACAATCATAAATGCACATGTTGGTTTATCGAGATTTCTATTTACATCCTTTTTGCGCTGCATCTTGATTTTTTTAATTATTGACACTTATGGACATCTAAAGATCATTTTACTTTAAATATTCTTGTATAACTATTCTGTCAACGGTCTCCAAGTGTTTATTAGTTTATTCAGTTTACATATCAATATAATTTCATTTACTGTGATCTTTGTTGTGTCCTGCGATATTACCTCCAAATCAAAACTAAACACATTTTAGGTATGCTTTGATGTTTAAGATAAACCTCGTTCGTGGCTATTTGTCAAATAGGTTGGATGTTCATGGCTACCACATCAATCGTTTTGTTATGCTGTATGCCAACTATTGGTCCCAGATCTATTCAAATAATTGCTCTATCTCTCACAAATTGAACGCTTCATTTCGTAACGTTTTCGCTGTTAGAATATTGAATAAACACTAAATATCATATAGAATATTCCAACTATAAATGAAGTAATTTTAGATTCTTTTCTAACCCTAAATACTTTGCTCTTGGTCCTCCTTAGTCATTTCCACTTAAGCTCTGCAAAGTTAAAATTCGCAACCTATCAATTATTCTGATTCATACTCCATTACTGCTTTTAGCCCCTTTCGACACTGTATTTTAGGGCATATTTATATATTTACTCCATTCTATGCTCCCATCACCAGGTAGCTATCACTTCTATATAGATACACAGATCAAAGTGATTGAAACAGTGTCTTCCGACTCCGTATTTTATTTTGTATCCCGGGCATTCTTATTCAAAGTTTTCTGTAGCGTATTTCGATATCCAATCCGATAGCCGATACAGAAAATGTTGGTAGGTCCAACGAAATCGAATACATCACCCGACCCATTCCCCGGGGTCTTTCAGACAATATGATTGGTTTGTAAAATCATGTTTATTCCATATTTCATTTAACTGGTTCCAATACTTTTTCTTTATTAATGTAAAGTTCTTCTTTCCGGCATTCACTGGTTTCTAACTCTTTCCTCTCTGCACCTCTCTAACTCCACCATGCTGCGTCTATCTGCCATTGCTCGCTTCAGCTATCTGGCGTTTGTGCGTCTCCCAGTCCAAGCAATCTATTTGAGTGGATCTGCCTGCAGACGCAATTTCAGAACGCGCGCTACCGCAAGCAAGTAGCCAAAATATATTCGGCTGCCCGCCTACAGCACCTTGGCTGTTTGGCGCGACGTCGTACCACCAGCAACACTGTTACCGGATCGGCCACGGGCCTGACTCAGATGAACGTTGGGCTCGCCAGCAATGCTAATGTTGTCACACCTACACCGCTCCCTGTAGCCACGGGACCTACTGGACGAGGTGAATCGTGCATTCTTTTTTTGTTTATTTCTTCTTGCCTCACAACATACTTTTTTTGGCAAACTCTATTTGGTACGTATGAAGACCAAGATAATGTGGTCGCAGTCTTCTTTCGTTGTATAGAGGTTGTTTGACCTTGTTTTCGCAACATGGTCATATTGGTAGGAAGACTCAGAGGAACGCACCTAGTCCGGGCTCAATTGTCTGCATGATTATTTCCAAAGTGGTACATTCCCAGACGTTTCGCCGGCATCGTAGTCGGCATCTTCAGTGAGTATCGCCATTCTTAGTACCACACACCAACTCGTCAAAGAGACAAGTAAAGCCTATCCTTTGACCAGACTCAAAGGGGCACACAACGCTATCTAAATAAACACGGTAAAAATTGTAATAGTGAAGGCAGTATATGATGCAACGA